CCCTAGGCCACAGCTCAATGGCTTGTCTCTTAGCTTCGGGTCCATAACAGCAGGGCATGACAGACACCTTAGGCCTGGCAACCATTCCGTAAGCTCACCTTCTGTGGAATGGACACTGTGCATCCACTGTGCCCAAGTCCTCAGACTCCTGTCCAGGACAGATGCTATTTGTAAGCCCAGATGATGGACGAGGATTTGAGACTCAGAGAAGCGAAGTGACTGGCGCAGGGTAAGAGTAACTGGACCGATCTAACTGCCCGGGTAGAACACACAGACACACAAGGGCCTGCAGACAGTGCAGCGGAGCTGCACACACATCAGAAGATGCCACAGAGCAGGGGTCACCAAAGGCTTTTTGTGAAGACAGGAACTGTGTTCTAGGGGCACCCATTTTTGTTGCCACAAATCAATGCTGCGGTTGTGGTAGGAAAAAAATCCATGAACAACATGTAAGGGGGTGGATGTAGCTATGTGCCAATAAAACTCTATAACCAAAAATAGGTGGAAAGCCAGACTGGGCCCACAGGCTAACACTTGCTATTGGGCATGTGTGAGCCAAAGACCAAACTGATTTGGAGAACGACACACAACAGCTAAGAGATTATGAGAGAGTTAGGGGAACATTACAAGTACAAATAGTACATACAAGCTGCTTTCCAAAAGTCAAAGAAATGCAGGCTATGAAAAAATTGTACGTATTTCACAAAATACTGCACTAAAATAAATGTATCTTGGTGCCAACGCTGTGGAGTGGAGGGTAAAATCTCTCCTTACAGTCCCAGCATCCCATATGGGCACTGGTTTGAATTTTGGTTGCTCCACTTCTGATCCAGCTCTCTGCTATTGCCTGCAAAAGCAGTAGACAACTGCTCAAGTGCTTGGGCTCCTGCACCCACATGAGAGACCCGGAGGAAGCTTCTGGCTCCTGCCTTTGGATCGGCACAGCTCCGGCCATTGTGGCCATCTGGGGAGTGAACCAGCGGATGAAAGACCTCTCTCTCTCTCTCTCCCTCTCTCTCTCTCTCTCTCTGCTTCTGCCTCTCTGTAACTCTGCCTTTCAAAAAAATAAATAAATCTTTTAAAAAATAAATGAATCTTTCTTTTTTTAAAAGATTTATTTGAAAGTCAGAGTTACACAGAGAGAGGAGAGGCGGAGAGGGAGAGGGAGAGGGAGAGGGAGAGGGAGAGGGAGAGGGAGAGGGAGAGGGAGAGGGAGAGGGAGAGGGAGAGGGAGAGAGAGATTTTCCATCCAATGGTTCACTCCCCAGTTGGCCACAACAGCCGGAGCTGCGCAGATCCGAAGCCAGGAGCCAGGAGCTTCTTCCAGGTCTCCCATGTGGGTGCAGGGGCCCAAGGACTTGGGCCATCTTGTACTGCTTTTCCAGGCCACAGCAGAGAGCTGGATCGGAAGCAGAGCAGCCGATTCTCAAACCGGTGCCCATATGGGATGCTGGCGCTTCAGGCCAGGGTGCTAACCCGCTGCGTCACAGTGCTGGCCCCCAAAATAAATGAATCTTTCAATTCCATTTTCCATGAACCTTTTGAGGTACTCCTCTGTGTGTCTGTGTATATAACATGTTACTTTTTTTTGTTGGTAGAAATACAGATTTAAGAGATCCGAAGACTCTCTATGAATATTATGTGAATGTTATGTATTTCACGCAAAAAGAAACCAGACAGGCCTGCATAGAGCAATCTTCTACTGAAAACCTCTCCCTAGAGCATGCATTTGGTGTATCCTATGTTGGAATGCCTGGCTGGAGTTCCAGCTACTCCTCTAATCATACCCTGGGAGGAAGCAGATGATTGTTCAAGTACTGGGGTTCCTGCCACCCACGTGGGAGACCCAGATATGGGTTCCTGGGTTCAGCCTGGCAAAGACTGCAGGCCTGCGGGGAGTAAACCAGAGGACGGAAGATCTGTTTCCATTGGTCTCTGTGTCTGTCTCTGGTTGTCTTTCTGTCTTTCAAATAAAATGAAAATAAATATATTTTTTTTTACCCTCTTCTTACAGTCCTTAGGTGCTGGTCCTTGCCTGGGGGCAGGAGATGTCCCATTTGGGGCTACTGCACCCCAAGACAAAGCCTGCACTTTCAGCTCATTCACCTCATTCCCTGTCATGCTTTTATGTTTTTATTTTATTTTATTTTATTTTATTTTATTTTATTTTATTTTATTTTATTTTATTTTATTTTTGACAGGCAGAGTGGACAGTGAGAGAGAGACAGAGAGAAAGGTCTTCCTTTGCCGTTGGTTCACCCTCCAATGGCCGCTACTGCGCTGATCCAAAGGCAGGAGCCAGGTGCTTCTCCTGGTCTCCCATGGGGTGCAGGGCCCAAGCACTTGGGCCATCCTCCACTGTACTCCCTGGCCACAGCAGAGAGCTGGCCTGGAAGAGGGGCAACCGGGACAGAATCCGGTGTGCCGGCACCGCAAGGCAGAAGATTAGCCCATTGAGCCGCGGCGCCGGTGTGTGCGTGTGCGTGTGCGTGTGGGGTACACGAGTCGCGACAGTTGAACAAATCACAGGTAGTACAGCAGACATGAGACCTTTGTTCCAAAACCTGTTTCCCGTGGTGGGAACTCTTTCCTGTATGAGAGTGGAATTCTTTTTTATATTTAGATTGAATTCTCTGTTATTAAAGAAAATGATGGATTAGTGCTGGGGGACATAAGGCTGCATACACATTTTGATAAGGGAGACATAAAAATGCAACTTGGTCGTGGAAATCGGATAATATCTTGCTCCTCAACAGTCTGAGTAAGTCAGGACATACGGGTTGGGACAAGTCTATGTTTTATGGTCCTGATGCTAATGATATTCTTGTTCATCTGAGAGTCCAAAGGTGACCATTAAACCAGAAAAAAGCAGAGGCAGGAGGGTCTCAATGCGAGGCTGACATAGAGGAGGCGCTGAGGAGCTATGAAAAAATGCATAAAAAAATACGCAATGCCACATTGCTGGCGGGAATGCAAAATAGTACAGCCACTTTTGAAAACAATATAATGGTGTTTTAAAACTTTATCGTGTCACTTAACTGTCCTGCTTTGAAAGATTTCTCAAGAAAAAAAATGCAAACAGGGGGCTGGCATTGTGGCGCAATGGCTTAAGCTGTTGCCAACTTCACTGTCACCCCACATGAGCACTGGTTCCAGTCTTGACTGCTCTGCTTCCAATCCAGCTTCCCGCTAATGCCCCTTGGAAAGCATCAGGAGATGGCCCCAGTGCCTGGTCCCCTGCCACCCACATGAGACCCAGATGGAGTTCCAGCCCTGGCCATAGCAGCCATTTGGGGAGTGAACCAGAGGAGGAAAGGATTCTTTCTCTCTGTAACTCTGCCTTTGAATAAAAACCAAAATTTATCTTTTTAAAATGCAAATATGTATCAACACATAGACATACACTCCAATTCCATAGCATTCATAATAGCCAAGAAAAAACCGGGAATAAGTGTTTCTTAGGCAAATGGACAATCAGATTCAGATTCTCACCATGAAATACGACACAACAAAGGAATGGAATGTTAATACACATTTCATCATGGATCAATCTCCAAAACACTATAGTAAGTCAACAAACTCAAACAGAGGGACTAAGTCCAGTATGCTTTCATTTATATGGATTTCAAAACAGCAAAGACAAGCAACACTGTTGGTAGGGATGGCACAGACTTAAAATGAGCATAAGGGGCATTTTTAGGATAAAGGAACTATTCTAATGCCTTCACCATGGTGGGGGGGGGGGTTGTCATAAGATTGTGTACTATTGCCAAACTCAAGTGCTTAGGTGGGTGAATTCTATTGCATCTAACTAGTAACTTTATTTTAAAAATATGCATGGAAGCTGGCGTTGTGGCATTGTGGGTAAAGCCACTGCCTACAGTGCTGGCATCCCATGTGGTTGCTGGCATCCCATAGAGGGGCCAGTTTGAGTCCCAGCTGCTCCACTTCCGATCTGGCACACAGCTGATGGCTTGAGAAAGTAGTAAAAGATGGCCCAAGTGGTTGGGCCCCTGCCACGCACATGGGAGACCCATAAGAAATGCTTGGCTCCTGGCTTTGGTCTGGCCTAGCCCTGGCTTTGCAATCATTTGGGGAGTAAACCAACGGCCAGAGGAGCTTTCTCTCTGTCTCTCCCTCTCTCTCTGTAACTCTGCCTTTCAGTCAATAAAATAAACCTTAAAAAAAAAATAAAAGTATGATATTCAGATTCCACTACAAACAAGTTGTAGAAGGAAAAATATCTCAATTATTTCTACATCTGATTACTAACCATGTGTACACACAGACAAATGGCCTCAGTCACCTATTTTCCTGAGTAGCTAGAATTATATCCAGCTTTGGAAAGTCCCTATTTAGGACATCAATATCTCCCACTCTGTAAGGCACTAACATCAGCTGTCTGAATAAAAATGGTGTCCCTCCAAAATCCTCAACACACACCCTTATCCCATCTACATATGTAGATGGCAACGTTGGCATGCCAGGCAGGAATCAGGTGCGGCTGATACAGAACACAATGTCTACCACGTACCAAGAGCTTATTAGAAACAAGACACTTTGTTCTGCACTTATGTAACAGGCGTTCATCATCACAAGGCACACATGACTCCCCTCATTTTCCAGGTGAGGACAATGAAGCTGTCACCTGCCCAAATCCACAGGCGCTCTAAGGCCGGGCTGGGATACAACCCCAGATGGACAGACTGGAAAGTTAGCACCCGAAATCTTGTCCTGCTTAACTCCAGCACGCTCAGTGTCCAGTAGAGACCAAAACAGTATGCCAAGTCCCCTCCCACAGACACAGAGACGTTCGACAAGTGCCACTCACTGCTTCAGAAATTGCAACACAGCCCTGTCTGGGCAGAAGGAACCCAGTTCCTGTACCTCGGGAAAGGAGAATCAAAGAACTGCGTGTTTAGCATGGGGGTGGCCCCTTCTCTTCCCACCGTGTTCCCGGCAGAGCGGCACAGGTCCGTGACCTGGGCACATCAACTTACAGTGATGAGCACGCTGTCAGATCTCATTTCCAGGGGCAGGCCTCTTTCCCAACAAAGATAAAGTCTACCAGGAGATCACTGCGGCAACAGCTGTCCCTGTCTCCGTTGCTGTTTCTGCAGCAGCCAAGCCCATCTGCACATGGTGCTCAGGATTTGGGGACGGAGCATCCCGAGCTTGTGGGAGGGCTCATTTGCATAGAGGTGGGTGGGCAGGGGTTTGCCAGCACATCTAAGAACTTCAGCAAATACACCCAGGAAGGAAAATTCCTTCATCCCTGTGGGTCCTAACCCCAAGCAGGGGGGCCTCTCTCTGACAAACAGTGCCCATCACAGCATCTCCTCCTGGGTTCTTTGGCAGAACAGTTGTTGAATTTGTGTCCCTGGGACCAGATATTGTCTTCAGCTGCTGCCTCCCAAAACAAACCTCAGGCCATCAAAGGGGAGAGACACACAATGCTAGTGGCTGACTCTCAATAAAACACAAAACTGGAAGGAAATTGTAGGAGGGCTGAAGAGGTCCAAGGAGAACATCAGGATTAAGGCGAGAGCTGCAATTAAAGTCAGTGACCACAAAGAGCTGTGTGCACTGGACAAGCCTCTTTGAGAGTATCTCCATCTATTCACCCTGAAGGTGGGGCTGCAACCCCTGCCTGATGCACTTCCCAGAGTAGCTGTAAAGATGGAATGAACAAGGATGATGGCAGCTGACATCTCTTGAGCTCTTGCAGTGCAGTGTGCCTGGTGCCGTGCCAGGCATTCTGCATATATTAGATCATGTAACCTCCATGCAACACAGTGGGGTCAACACTGCAGAGTGTTATTGTCATTACCATAAAGTGGAGGGCTTGTTGCCATTACAACCATTGCTAGTCCTTGCTCTGTGTAAATTTGACCCAACTGATTTGTATGCAGTGCCTTTCATAATACTCAAAGCAGTCTTATCAGGTCCATACAAGAAATAGCAAATAATTTTTGCATTGCAGGATGCTGCTGTTATATTCAGGGTTTCCTTTAACAGCCCCTATGACACCTGCTGGGGGGTAACTTCTAGAACAGCCTACCAGCTATAGGACCAAATTAAGGCATGGATCAACTCTTGCTAACTCACCAAAAAAACATAACTTGCACTAGTGAGGCATCTTAATATTCCACTAAAGAAAAACAATGCAAATGATAAAAGTATCTGCATACCCGCTTCATTTCCTAAAGAAAAGGAGAGAGAGAGAATCCAAGCCCAAGAACTTTTTGTCTCAAGAGCCAGGCGTCTGTGCCCATATTACTGTTACCACACATGGCAAACAAATGGGTGTCAGGCCCGAAATCCACAGGGAAGCCGGCGCCCTGAGTCTCCTTCCACCCCTCCCTCCCAGGATCTGCCACTTCTCCTCCTGCCCATGGAGAGACACAGCCCCAGGAGGACTTTGCTGCCGGAGGAGGCTCCGACTCCCAGCGGCTTTCTGCTTCCTCGGTAAGTGCCAAGACCCAGCAGATCATTAATTACGACTTCTCACAAATGGTTTCCCACATCCCTTGCAGGCACGCCTGTGCACTGGGAGGGAAGAGGATTTCTGAGCAGAAGTGGTCTGTGCTTCTGGCTGCACACGCCGCTCTCAGCACTGAATCTGCTCATGCGGGACAGAGGCCTTCGGGCAAGAGGGAACCCGCATCCGAAAATGAGTCTGTTCTTGAGACAAGCAGGGTTACAGAAACAGGGCTTGCAGCTTTTGAGAAGTCAGTAGCACAGAAGGAAAGGAGGGAGCTGCGGATAATTAGGACAAAGCAGTGCTGTGCTCACCACACTTCTGTTTCCCAAAGGGACGACTGCGTTCACGTTCTCCTTTGCATAAACGGGATAAACCTCTTCTGAGCACCCACTGTGTGCACTAGGCATTCTCCCTCTTAATCCTTGAAAGAGTACAGGGTTGGTACTGCTAACCCAGTTTACAGACAGGGAAGCTGAGCCCCATAGAAGCCGCAGAAGCAGGACTGGATTTCAGATCTGTCCTGCTCAAAATTCCTTGCTCCACTCATGACCCCACAATGCTTCACAAAGCCACGATGGGGTGGACATGGCAGGATAAATATCCCTACTTTAAGCTTAGAAAAGTGGAGCCCAGAGAATCTGTGTGGCCTTCCCAGGACACCCAGCCTTAATGAGCATTAAAACCCCAGGACGTTCTACCTCTCCCCAAGAACATGGAAATAAATGGCCTCAATGAACCATCAAGCAAAAGACAGGTGTGTATGAAGCAGATACAGGGTCATTAGCAAAGTGACATCATGCTGCAGTACAGCCCGCACATCAGCCTCACTTCAGACCCAGCCCTGGTGTCTGCACATCCACAGGAATTGAACAGCCATAGCTGGATCACAAGGTGGGCATCTAGGGTAAATTTTCAATGATGGCTTGGAATGTCTATCACCAAAGTGAAGGACTGAAGACAGTTCTGGGGAAACCTGTTCACGCGTCACTCTGTTAAGAACCTAGCACACGAGGGAAAAGGCAGAGCTGATTAAAGACATCCAAGCTCACCATAGCCCACATTGGCTAGACCTCTCAACTGCGATCCAAGGGACACACTTCATACCTAGGCCTATCCGCCTGCTTTCACTCGGAAGGAAGACGGCTCTCATGACCAGTCCCAAAGATGATGGGTCAAGACTACCTGGAAGTGTCCTGGGGCAAGGGGAGCTGGCACTGTGGAAGAAGCCACCGCCTGCAACACCGGCATCCCATATGGGCACTGGTTCGAGTCCTGGATGCTTTGCTTCTAATCCAGCTCCCTGCTAATGTGCCTGGAAAAAGCAGCAGAATGTGGATCAAGTGGTTGGGCCCTGGCTGCCCACATGGGAGGCCTGGATGAAGATGCTGGTTACTGCTTTCAGCCTTGCTCAGCCCTGGCTGTTGCAACCACCTGGGGAGTGAACTAGAGGATGGAAAATCTCTCTCTTTCTCTCTCTCTCTCTCCGGGTGTGTGTGGGTGTATCCCTTTCTATATATAACACTGACTTTCAAATAAACTAATTCATCTTCCTAAAAATGCACTAGGGTATTGTGGGGCTAAAGAAAGGGCATGCCTTGGAGAGTCACATATAAGGGATGGGATGAACACTTTGCATGACTACATGGGTGGTTATTCTACAGCTTTGCTTCTCTGTCTGAGGATCGAGGATCAACTGTTCTACTCCGGCTCTGAGGACCTGAGGTTTCAATGAGACAGTATAAGTGAAGAGGCTAGCACAATGCTTGTCACATCAAAGTCCCCAAGATTTCTCTGGCATTTAGAAGGGATCCACTTATTTGACAAATAGGACACAAATACAGCAATAACTGCAGTCAGGTTTCTGTTGCTCTTACGTAAAACAAATCCAAACTGATTCATTTCTCCATATTGAGAGGTTGAGGATTTTGGTTGCATTTAGTGGAAGGCTAGAAAACATGGCTTTTGAGTAGAATGAATCATTTTATAATTATGATTAATTCAGTCTGCATCAGCAATCATCTCAATATGGGTGTGACCAATGTCCAGAACCAGGGAACCTTAGGGTCAGAAGAAATGTCAGACATCCTACACCCTACACGGGATGTTGCCCAATTCCCATCATGAACACTTCAGCACTTTCTCTAGTTGGACAGCTCCGACTGATGCACCATTTCTCACTAACCTCCTGTCCCACTCCTGACCCTCCTCTTTGGATATAATTCCCCCTGTGGGCCACTTGGAATGAATCCTGTGCCTCCCCCTCTTAGCTATCTCTTCTAGCTGTTCAAACAAGGTGAGTCAGGCTTAGCATCCTCTTCTAGATTCTTCCAGAAATCCATGGATCTAGATTTCTTTCAGAATATGGAAAACTACACATGGAGGTAGCAACACTTTCTCTCTGTCTTGGGTGAGGTGAAAACTCTACAGACTCATTGTAACAAATTCCTACTATTTAAAAAATGTAGGATTCAACTCCAGCCCTTAATCATTGGGTTGCAAGTGCTCATCCGTTTGAAATGTACTTATTTGATTCGGAGTTAATTTTCTCCATGACTTTCAAAGAGTGGAGAGAGAGAGAGGAGTTCAAATTATATACTTATGGATCCAAGTCTGAGTCTCAATTATGCGTGGGAGTGCGAAGGTTCAGAGAGCACAGATAAAGCAGTACTAACAACAGGATGCTTAGCTGTCTCTGTCAGCCTCTGCTGCAGCCCAAGAAAGCCCTCTACCCTCACCTTCGCACTTCCCAAAGATTTTTCTGAGCTCTGGGTCCATTTTTCACCCACTTCTCTCCCAGCGGTGTGGTTACGGGAGAGAAAGGAAAAGGTCACATTTGCAGAGGATGCCGCAGCATCCAATTCCACCCTGAAGTCTGAGGCTGGTCTCTAGGGCCCCAAGAATTAAAACCAATGCAGTGAACTTGACTTGCATGTAGTTAATGCCATCTTAATAAGGTGAGAGCAGCTTGGGGATCCCAGGAACATGTAACTCAGGCCTTGCCATATGGAGCCAGCCTGGAATCTGTCAGGTTCACTTAGCACATCTTCTCTTTGGGGAGCCAGCCAGGCAATCACGTTCAGGGGGCAGAAGGGAGAGGCAAGGAAGGCGGGCAGGAAGGGGCTGTTGAAATATTGAAAGTAATGCTGGTAAAAAGCCAGATGCACACCTATCCCCCGACACACACACACACACACACACACACAAAGCCGCACAGCCACACAAGGCTGGTAAACACTCCTTGCACAGACAGAACCTGGAGTTGAGGTACTGACAGTGATTTAGGGCTGTTTGGGGGATAGGAACCGAAATAGCTGGTATGAATATATGTATTTCAGGAAGAAGTAATAAGCGTGTTTCTCATTGTCAGTGGATGAACCACATTTGCATCAATGTCTTATTTCTGCCCTGAACAACCCAAGAGACAGATATAGCAATTCCAGCATCCACAAGAATGCCATTTTTTTGTGGTTGGTTTTGTGATCCTCCTGTGTGATAGATCTTAAGAAAAAGTACTGAGGAAACGGCAGAGATTTGGGGGGGAGGGGAATAAAAGAACCCGATGTCAGAGAGCGTGCTACCCCTGGTTCCAGTCTGACAGCGAGCGCAGGGCATGCTTCGTGACAAGCAATGGAGAGCCTGGGACTCTGCACCAATGCAATTCTCCCTTGATGGATGTGGGGGATCAGGGCATCTCTTCAGAGCTTTGGGAAAAAAGCCAGAATTGAAAATGTAATCTCCATTTCATACTTTTTGCTGATATTCAGCATAAAAGCAATGCTGGCTCGTGGCTGGCCAAATTCAATGCAATTTATATGCAGCCTCATACATCTTTTTGGGGGGAGACCAAATCCTACTGACATCCCCCAGCCTCTACAGCACAGAGTTGCAAAGGTGCAGAGTGATGCCTCACAGAGGGCTTCCTGGGGAATGAAGTGAGGGATCTAATTCTGTACGGTTTGTAGGATGTGCCTCCAAGGTGACATTTCCAGGGGCAACTGGGCACCCTTGCCCCTTAGAGATGAGGAAGACTTCATTTTCAGGATGGTGCTCATTTATCCCCTACTTCTGCAGAGGCATTGATGGAACCAGCTCGAGTGGCTTCTTGCATGTAACAATGGCAAGTTTCACTGCCTCACAATTGCAATGCTTCATGTGGGGAGAATGACCAACGTGTACTAAGACTGCTACGGGTGTCGGGCATTTTCAAAGGGCTTTACATACTTTATTATTGAATCTTCTCATATGATATGAAGAAAAGGTATGGCCAAGATTGATGAGAACCACAGCTTGTAATTGTGGAAATGAATATCAAACTCAAATAACTGGACTCCAGTGCCTTGTCTGAGTGATTGCATTTCATCAGCTCCTCTGGGATGCAATTCTCAAGTCAGTTCCTGGGACACAATACACATTCAATAAATGTACCCCAACACCTTATAAGCAATTATGGACATGTACAGGTATTAATATGTTCCAGGTGCTGGGATGGCTGCTTTCATGGTTTGGAACAATCCCGTTTTCATTTTCCTACAGGAAAACTGACACCCAAAACAAGCTCCACAACTTGTTCAAGCTCACCCCCACGCTAAGCAGCAAAGGAAAAGAATATACCCATGAGCTCAGATTCCAGAAGTTTCTATGCCAGAATGTTCATGTATAAGGCGACCTCCACGTCAACCAATTGGTAGCCCCGACACTGAAAACCAGACCACACACTTCTCCATTATTTTCCGTGGTCTAATCCTCTTCCTGCATTTCTGTGGGTTGACAGAAAATGGCAGAAAGGAACATAGAATCCTCCCAGTCTCCACACACAGTGCAGCCTCTTGAGAGGCACCTAGGACCACGGAAGAGGAGCCCACCTGTCTCTGCTGAGTGCTTATCAACTCTCCAAGGACTCCTGGCTTAGTGCACAACCTCTTCTGCTGCAAACACCTGGATCCTGCAGAAACCATTTGGACTACAGTCCCAGGACACACAGGCATCTCAGGGGAGAACAGTGGCTTGTCAGTGGCAAGCACTGCACAAATACTGCATGAATATGTCCGAGGAAATGGATGAATGCATCCAGCTAACTCAACAGTAACAGTTGGTATAAGTAGCTGTTCACTGCACTCAAAGATCAGAACCCTCTTATCACTCAACTGATTCACACCTGAACTCCTCCAAATCCACTTCTACTCTCATGCCATTTTACAGAAGGAAAGATTAAGAGTTATAAGGATAAAGTATTTTTTTTTTTTTTTTTTTTGACAGGCAGAGTGGACAGTGAGAGAGAGAGACAGAGAGAGAAAGGTCTTCCTTTTGCCGTTGGTTCACCCTCCAATGGCCGCCGCTGCAGCCGGCGCACCGCGCTGATCCTGGCAGGAGCCAGGAGCCAGGTGCTTTTTCCTGGTCTCCCATGGGGTGCAGGGCCCAAGCACCTGGGCCATCCTCCACTGCACTCCCTGGCCATAGCAGAGAGCTGGCCTGGAAGAGGGGCAACCGGGACAGAATCCGGCGCCCCAACCGGGACTAGAACCCGGTGTGCCGGCGCCGCAAGGTGGAGGATTAGCCTATTGAGCCACGGCGCCGGCTCAGGATAAAGTATTTATAACTCACCCAAAGTCACACAAGTCATGGAAGATGATGTCAGCGTGGCTTTAGCCAGGGTCAGGGAAAGCTGGCCCATGGGACTCATAAACCCTGCAAAAAACCATTTGGTCTGGCCCTGCCAAGGCATCCACAGGTGGGACTCAAAATTCAGCACACCTGTACTGGGCTTATTTATAAGCTGATAATTTTGTATGGTCCACAAATGATGTGATAAATATCCAAATGGCCCTCAGCAGAAAGAAAGGTTCCCCACTTGTAGGAGCCAGCTCCTGGATGGCTCACCAGGTCACTGGGGCCACTGTGAAATCCCACTGCACCTGCCAAAGGGAAGAATCTACCCTCAGGTGTCACACACTAGAAGCAGCAGTAAAATGACCTACACAGCACTGTCAGAAGGCACCAGGGAACCCAGAGAGGTGAGAAGAGGCCGTTTGTGGAATAGCACTACAGCTGGGAGAGATGGGGAGGTCTGCGTTTAATAAAAAGACAACACTGATTTCTCACTAGCATCTTAGCTGTTTATCAGGTGGCTCAAAAAGAGCTTGAGGGGAGCCATCTAAAGAGTGAGAAATAGATGGCTCTTGGGCACTTGGTACTTCCCTAGAACTGCTGTCCCCTTTACCCCTGGACTGTTCTGGGAAGAAAGCTGTTGTGAGATGAGAATGGAAGATCCCAACCACATTCTGGTAGGAACGCAGCAGAGAAGAGGGGAGGGAGAGGGAATACTCTCGCACTTGGAACATTCTCCCCCTGTGTTCTTTTTACCCATCCGATGTAGCCAAGCAGAGCTCCAAAAGAGACTGAGGAGTCCTCCCAGTCAATCATATCACAGGCAAGCAAAGAGGAGAATCAGCAGATCACTTACACTGGGTATTTCTCCTACGTCCCAGCGCCTTTATATCTTATTTGATTCATCTTTTCAAGCAACTCTTGGAGACGTTCTTCCTCTCAGTGAAGATAAGAAGTCTGAGGATCAGTGGAGTTAAGAGCGTTCCAAAAATCACAAAAAAGCTAGTGAAAGACATACGCAAATCTATGTATCTTTTTCAGACTTCTAAGCCTCTGATATTAACACTGCAAAGATTTTTAAGCCTGTGATGTTAATATTTCCCTTGCTCTAAATAAGGCAATATGTACTTGAGATAAGTGCCTGCACGTTCAGGGGTGCATCCTATCATCCCAATATTTTTATCTAATAAGCTCCATGATTGTTGTTTCATGATTTACTGTGTAGGAGTGCACCCTTTTCATTTGATGAGTGTTTACAGCCCTCACCTATACTATATTCCTGTGGAATTGGGATTTTTTCACTTTTTACTTGTTGAATTCTTTATTTGTGACTTTGCCTTGGACTTGGCTTTAATGTAAAGTGATCACATGCTACTATTTCCGTGAGTATACGTAAATCTGCCATCTCTAGATTCATGTGCAACAGTGCTGCTAGTGGGGATTCTGGGGAAAACAAGTGAATTTCTGGGGAGGGAAAGTGTTGGGGGACATGTGACAGCAAACCCTACTTTGCAAGTTTGCACTGCACAAAGGTAGCATGTTAAAACAAAGTATTTTGTATCAGCATAATGTAATATTTCCTTTGAAAGTTTCGTAACACTGATATTCACACTTTCAATGCAAATGGTAGAGAACTCTGACCTCCAAATAAGTTAACCCAAAATCAAAGTTGCAAGAGGGGATTACTCTGAATGGGAAGATCATGTTGTTTACAAGCGGCCAACCAATAACCCAGGAATTTACACTGAAATTCTGTACAGCACTAGCACCCTTTTGTTCTAAAGGGGGGCAGTGGTGTGTACCTACATCTGTGACTATACACACATCCACAGCTATATGTTCCTATCTTTCATTTAAAAGAGAATCCAGGGGCAGGTGTTTGCCTAGCAATTAAGACGCCTGTTGGGACCCCCGTGTCTCATCTCAGAGTGTGTGAATTTGAGTTCCAGTGCAAGCCCCTGATTCCAGCTTCCTGCTCGTGCAGACCACGGGAGGCATCTGGTGATTCGTCAAGTGAATGAATCCCTGCCACCTATGTAGGAGCCTGGATTGAGTTCCTGGCTCCTGCCATTGGCCTGGCCCATCCATGGCCATTGGGGCATTTGGGGAGTGACCCAGTAGATAGGAGCTCTCTATCCATGTCTGTCTGTGTCTCTCTCTGACTCTCAAATAAACACAAAATGAATGAAAAACCATACAAGAGAAGCTACTATGGATAAAACAAGGAAGTAGTAAGCACGTTGAGTGGTCTCTGACTTTTTATGACAAACATCAGACAGGACGTGTTGAAGGGAAGAAATGTGCCAGGCACAGTGGCTAAGCCTCATCTGTACTCTGGAAAGACCCGGTCCCATGCCCCCTCTGCTCAGCCTCTCCAGTCTACACTCAAAAGGGCTTACATTTGACCCACGGAAACAGGGAACACCAAGGAATTAGGGCATGCCAAACCAATGACACTTCTTCACAGCATTAGTGACAGCCAAGCTTTAGGTCAAACCCTGGAGCTCCCAGACAGCAGAGGCTCACACGTCACTCTCAAGAGAAGACAACCGAAGGTCATAACCTCTCCTGTCTGTTTCATTTTAAATACATCCATCGAGGGCAAAAAAAAAATGGACAGAACTTCAAATCTTATTTGAGTTCAACATCTCTGGATTCTGCCCTTTTTTTGATCTAACATGCGTAGCTCATGAGTCGAGGAGCCATCTCTGCCTCCTTTCAGAATTTATTATAAATTAGGGAATATCATGACACATCTCTGGAAATGTTCTGAAGTAAACTAGACTGTATGCTCCAATCTGATGTATTTTAATGAGGGCAGATCAGCCACACCAGTACGACCCACAGCAAAGAAAATGAGCCGCGTCAGGGCTGGGCTCGACTCCCAGCTCTGCTCCCAATTCTCCCTTCCTGATAATGTACACCCTGGGAAACAGGGAGGTGAGGGCTCCAGTGGTAGGGTCACTGCCACCCACATGGGAGACCTGGATTGAGTTCTGAGTTGGTTTCAGCCAGGGCTAACCCCAGCTGTTATGGGCATTTGTGGAATGAACCAGTGGACAGAAGACCTCCCTCCCCCCACCGCCCCCACCTTTCAAACACTCAAATTCAATAAAATTTTTAGATCTTTTCAAAAGGAAACTAAGTCCGGATAACATTCTGGTTTAAGCTTTTAGAGAGACATCTGACAACATCTTCCCAAATCAAGAAGTACATCTACCTTTAAAAATTCAGCCCGGAAGTTCTACTTCAAAAAAACTCTTCTCATGGAGATAGTCACAAGGGACTTTAAGAAACTGTGATTTTGTTGGTAACAGCCAGAAGCTGTCATCCTCAACAAGGATCAGTGAGATCCTGGATGATAACGTCCCTCTGTGCAGGAAGTCTGAGCACCCAGTCCAGAGAGCACAGCAGGTGAAGACGCATGAGTAATGAAAACGCTCCCAAGAGTAATCGTAAAGCTGTAATTTGTGGTTACTATGGCTACCTGTGTGGAGACCGCTTGGGAAGAATATATTTTTTAAAGTCTATTTACAAAGGAGGCTCCTCATCACAAGGGTCATGCCAGCTTCAACATCCCTGCCCAACCTTGCCTTCCAGCAGCTGCAATCATCCCTGAAGGAATTTTGATGACACCCTTCCCTTTCCCTCTTCTCTTCTTGTCCCTGCCTTCAACATGAAAACCAAGAGGTTCACTGAGTTTTCTTTTGAATGTCCAGACAAGTAACAAAGACTCTAATAGACCAACCATCAAGGCGAAGCAACAGCCTAACACTCTCCAGTATGTAGTACTTGCCAGAAACGTACTATTCTTTCTAAAAAAAATATTGTTATTTATTAAGAGGTAGGGACAGACAGAAACAGAGAGCCAATCTGCTGGTTCACTCCCTAAATGCCTCCCACATCTGGAGCTGAGCCAGGACATAGCTAGCAGCCAGGAACTGTCCCCCACATGAGCGGCAGGGACCCAGCTACATGAGATATCACCTACTGCCTCCCAGGGTCTCCATTTGTAGGAAGTTAGAATCAGGAATGTATCCAGGAGCCAAACCAAGCCCCCGCCCCCCCCCACCGGCATGCTGGCAAAAAAAAAAAAAAAAGTCTATTTACTTATTTATATGTTCTTGAAAGGGAGAGAGGAGAGAGAGAGAGAGAAAGAGGAGAGAGGAGAGAGAGGAGAGAGGGGAGAGAGAGGGGAGAGAGAGGAGAGAGAGGAGAGAGGGGAGAGAGAGGGGAGAGAGAGGGGAGAGAGAGGGGAGAGAGAGAGAGAGAGATCTTCCATTTGCTGGTTCAATTCCTAGGTACCTGCAATAGTCGGGGCTGGACCAGGCCGAAGTCAGAACCACACAAGTGGGTCTCCCACGTGGGTGGCAGGGCCCCAGGTTCTTAAGCCATCACCTGCTGCCTCCCAGGTGCAGGTGCATCTGTAGGAAGCTGGATCAGAAGCAGAGATGGGACTTGAAGCCAAGCACTCCGGGATGAGGTTTGGATGTTCCAACCAGTGACTAAACCTGCTGCACCAAACGCCTACCACAGGAAGGACATTAATATATATTCATTTCATTCCTTTCTTTCTCCTGCACGTTACCTATTTGTGTGCAGTTGTTGTTTTTAAAATTCCACTGGGATCCAGACCAGCAGTAAGATCACGGACAAGATTTTATGTGGCACCGTGGGCTGAGCTATGGCCTGCAGTGCCAGCATCCTGTGTGGGCACCAGTTTGAGTCCCAGCTGCTCCACTTCTGATCTAGCTCCCTGCTAATGCACCTGGGAAGCTGTGGAAGATGGTTCAGTCTCTGCACCCACATGAGAGATCCAGAAGGAGCTCCTGGCTCCTATCTTCGGCCTGGCCCAGCCCCAGTTGTTGAGGCCACTTGAGGGTTGAACGAGTGGATGGAAGATCGCTCTGTCTCTCCTCCTCTCTCTGTAATGCTGCCTTCCAAATAACCAAATAAAACTTTTATAAAAAGATCTTCATATTTATTTTATCAAAACATTAAGTTTCAGGTAAAAGTTTGTGAAGTAGATTTCACTTCCATTCCCTAGCCTGCGTTCGCGTATTGCTCTGGGCTAGCTTAACCCGGTACACTTTTACCCTGGACTCTTATTCACAATCACAAGTCCACTCGTTGGGCTTGATCACAGGGAATAAATTCTGCTCCCTGAGGAAGCTACTTAGGGTCATTCTCTGGGTATCCTCTAACCTCATCCTTCCCTCCACACACCCACCCACCCTTCCATCACCCGTGCACCCTCCCATCCATCACTCCAGCCTATCACGTCGTGTGAGTCAGGTATTCTTCCAAGTTATGGGGAAGCAGGCACTGACACAGCACCTGTCCTGAAGGAGCTTTTATCCAGTGTGAGAGGAAGACGGGCGAATCAGTCCTTATTCTCTGTGAGAGAAGTGCATGATGGAGGGACCTGAAGGTGTGCTTGGGGTACACAGCTGAGCCAAGAAGGCAGCTTGATTCACAGTAGCCAAAAGGTGGAGACAACCCAAACATTCCTCAATAGATGAACACAAACAGAATGTGCACACAGAGAGACAAAGAACCACGTGGTTTCCTTTAGATGCGGCACCTAGTGTAGTCAAGTTTCATACACAGAATGAGAGCAGAGCAGAATGGGAGTTACCAGTGGCTGGAGGAGGAGAGAATGGAGACTGAGAATTTAATGAGCACAGAGTTGCAGTTTCCCAAGACAAAAAAAATCTGGAGCTGGATGGTGGCAATGGTTGCACAGCCATGTGAATCCAAGGTTCATCAAAAATTGGATTTAAAAAAAAAATGCTTACTTCCGTACAGATATTTTTATTTTTGACAGGCAGAGTGGACAGTGAGAGAGACAGAGAGACAGAGAGAGAAAGGTCTTCCTTTACCGTTGGTTCACCCTCCAATGGCTGCCGCGGCCGGCGCGCTGCGGCCGGCGCACCGTGCTGATCCAAAGGCAGGAGCCAGGTGCTTCTCCTGGTCTCCCATGGGGTGCAGGGCCCAAGCACTTGGGCCATCCTCCACTGCACTCCCGGGCCACAGCAGAGAGCTGGCCTGGAAGAGGGGCAACCGGGACAGAATCTGGCGCCCCGACCGGGACTAGAACCCGGTGTGCTGGCGGAGGATTAGCCTAGTGAGCTGCGGCGCCGGCCCCGTACAGATATTTTTAAAATCTATGTATTTTTCTCATAATGTGAATTTTCCATGAACTTTCTCAACATCCTCATACTGAATGCCACCGAGCTGCACACTGAAAAAGTGATTAAAATGGTGAGCCAGGCCTTGTAGCACAGTGGGCTGCCTGGCCATTTGAGATGCTGGAGTCCCATACCAGAGAGCTGACTGGAGTTCCCACTGCCTGCCGATGTCCCTCCAAAGGCAGTGGAAGGGGGCTCAAGCACCTGGACCCCGGCCACCCATGTGGGAGACCAGACCTGAGTTCCAGGTGCTTGGCTTCAGTCAGGCCCAGAGCTGGTTGTTGCAGTCATGTGGGGGAGTGAACCACTGGTTCATTCTCTGTCTCTTTCTCTCTGTCACCTGCTTTTCCAATCAATAAGTAAACATTTTTAAAAAATGGTTAAGTTGGTAAATTTTAATGTTCAATGCTGGCTCATCGGTTACGACCAATAAGCCACAGCCATGTAAGCTCTGACAAGAGAGAGCACTGGGTGTGAGTACCCATGGACACTTCTCTGAAGATCCAAAACTGTTCCAGAATGAACCATGTGCTAAGACAAAAAGCCTTCATGGGAAAAGCTGCAGGAAAGCTGAGGTGAGGAGGATGAGCTGCAGGCCCAGGCCGCGGGTTACAGCAAGGTCGTCAGGCAGGCTGAGAAAAACTCAGCCTGTTAGGGGCAGAAACGGAATTCTCCCTTCTGGGTGAGACAACGGCTCTGAGCTCCCAAACCGTGACGTTACACCATCTGACGAGACCCTACAATTCCAGCACATTCTCTACCCCTGGGCACGTGTGGGATCCCCTAAAGAAAAAAATGTTGCTTGTGATGCTTGGAGAAACCTAAGTAGCCAGAAAACCCCTCAAATAGTCCATTCTGCTCAAGGGCTGGCCTGATGCCACTTACCACAGCTTACAGCAACCTATTTTTAGGGACTCTGAACATCCTCTGCACGCATATGGCATCTGGTATCTATTTTACTGATAAACAAGTTCTTTGGATCCCTAAGTGGCTCATGCTGGGACCTATATCTCACAAGCAAGATGAAAGCCCTCACACCCTGGAAGTTCCATGTGTATCAATGTTAATAGCCTGATAGAGAAAAAGAAGCAAAGAAACTCCAAGGTGTTATTTGCAACTTGTCATGTAAAAGACACCATCCGTGGGACTCAAAAAATAAGCGGTGTGGTGAGCACCAGGAGCAGCGTGAGTTTATCTCCCTAACAGCTTGACACAGTGTCAACAATCTAATCGGGATACACGCAGGGGAGAAGAATTTATTGTTTTAATTATCATCTAAAGCTCAGGCTTCCTTTTTGATAAGGCCTTGGAATGCTCCTTCTTTGGGGTATTCCTAGTGGTAAAGGTGGCGTGAGTGTGCAGAAGGGAGCTTGCTCATTGTCTCGCTCCCTTGTGGCTCCTTTGATCCTGGGCACCAAGCAATTTTGCCGTGGAGATTTAATCCCAGGGTTTTCATACACAGCTTGTTACCTTCTTGCCAGCTCAACCAAGTTCTGTGATGCTCGCTTATTTGCAAGCAGCTAAGCTGATTCTCTTCTCAGAAGCTCAGCGGCTAACAAGCCGGAATTAGGCATTTTCCTCCTGCTTCGCTTGCTGTGAATGCATTGGATTCAGCTAAAGGTTTTCCCTCTTAGCAATAACCTGTTATCTGAAATGTACAAATTATGGACACACCAAGTTGAGTTCCATGACCACAGAGTTCCTGGGCTGAGTCAGCTCAGGCTCATTACTTTGGCTATAGATAGAGCTCTCTGGAAGCAAAGAGGATCCTCTCGAGATTGAAGTCGGGCAGGACAATCGTGGCTTCCAAGGGGATGCACTGGGAGCAAAGGGGGAGGCTGCCTGTGCACCGTGGAAAGATGTGGAGAG